CAGGGTTGGGAAGTAACGGATTACATGTAACGGCATTACGTAATCGGGATACAAAAATATATGTTATTCCGTTACAGTACAGTAAATAAAGATCAGATTAATGGAACATTTGTAAAAATGGGGATTACACATAGGGATTACTTTAAACACAAAGTTTCCATTAAACGGAAAGTGGAGTGCTATTTTCTATTTACACGTTTCCTGTAAAAACACACAGCTAGTGAGGGATTTGTCGCAGACTGATCGGCGTGTAGCCAGTAGTTGAATGTATTTATGTCTCCACCCAGTCATGCAGACTCTTATTTAGACTGATTCCAGCTCTCAGGGAGTGAATACGGCAGCCGGACCCAAGCACAGACTCCAAAACTGACTGAGACCAGTTTGACTACTGGGAACACAGTACGAAGCTGGTTTTCTTGCTGGTTTGGCTCTTGTCACCCGGGGATGAGTCAGTTAATGAGGCAGTGGTAGGTCATGTTCATGTCGTGATCAGCGGGAGGCTCCTGAGCGCAGTTTCGTTGCCCCCTTGCCTGGCGCCGCTCACCGCAATTATTCCCCACCCAACCTCCGGTGCTTAAGGTGTAACATTAAACCTAAACACATACTCCGGTGCTCTGAGTGGTAGTCCGGGCAGAATAAGCTAATTTGACCAGCAGTTGCAGGCTAACTGAGCTAATTAGATAATGGCGACTACAATGACTGAAATAAGATGCTGATGAGCAAATCAGCTCGAGCATAACTTCCACTAAATATATACTTCACACCAGCCATGCAAGAAAGCACTGTGTACAACAATCTCTAACTAAAACTTTACAGTAGAGAAACAATCCTGAAGTAAAGAAGAGATGTCAATGGATAATGGCTTTCCCAGTCACAACAATTCATGTTTGCATTCAAGAACAGATCACGAAGAGCTCTCCAAGTTCGCTTGATCATCACCTTATGATCACAGTGGTCTGAATTAGTTTCACCAGAAAGGACATGTTCTGAGCTGCATAAGGTCAGAAACTGCTGCTGGAGCATGCAGAAGATCAACACAAAGCCAAGGGACACAGTGAGAAAATAGCCATTACAAGAAGCTGAAGAGAGTTAGGGTTACAGTTTTGGATTTATTTATGCACTTTCAATTAATAAAAATATTAATTGAAAGTTTTTTTACATGTTTATTTACAGCATTAAATGTTGAAATGTATATTGAAACAGGTTGTATATTAACTTATTGTCAGAAAACTGGTAGTTCTATGTAAAATCAGACATTGAGCAACCCCATATCGCCAAAATGGCGTGATCCTTCTTTCGCTGCGAAGCTTCGACAGTGAGATTCTGAGTCGATTCAGGCTCCGCCCATTGAAGCATCGAATCTTCGACTATTCGGGGTCAGCCCTAATATACAAGAAATCCCCCTCTCAGCCCTTGCGGGGTGGTATGTGTCATCCTCCAGCTCGGGTCCTCTACCAGAGGCCTGGGAGTTTGAGGGTTCTGCGCAGTATCTTAGCTGTTCCTAGGACTGCACTCATCTGGACAGAGACCTCTGATGTTTTACCTGGAATCTGCTGTAGCCACTCTCCCAGTCCGGCCCCCAGTGCTCCGATTACCACTGTTGCTCTTACTCTCCACATCTTTTCTAGCTCCTCTGTCAGCCCTTGGTATTTCTCAAGCTTCTCGTGCTCCTTCTTCTTGATGTTTCTGTCGTTCTGTTGGGATCGCCACATCTATCACTGCAGCCTTCCTCTGCTGTCGATCTACACGATGTCTGGTTGGTTAGCCATCACCAGTTTGTCAGTCTGGATCTTGAAGTCCCACAGGATCTTAGCTCGGTCATTCTCACCTACCTTAGCAGGTGTCTTCCATTTTGACGTTAGGACTTCCAGCCCATACTCATGGCAGATGTTCCTGTACACTATGCCAGTATTCAGTAGTGGTATTCACTAAGCCCTTCATCTTTGGGGGACATCTTCCTGATGTACTGGATCTTTGTCGTTTCATCCTGGACAGTGGTCTTGACACTCACTAGCCCTCGGCCTCCCTCGCTACGCTTGGTGTACAGTCTCAGGGTGCTGGAACCTCTCAGCTGCCATCATGGTTGAAATGATTTTTTCAATCATTTGCACCACAAACCATACAAGATATGTGGCACCTGTTTCCAGCTGTGTTCATGGATGTTCTGAACGTGGCTCAGCCCTACTTATTCAGGTCCTCTCTTACTGTAAAAATGCAGTAGCTAAAGTAATAAATTAGAAAAAGAATGATTAAACAGTAAATTCAAAATGACAGTGCAGCTGCAGTACACTGCAAGATACAAGTCAGGAAGAATGTGGGCTGTATTTGAAACCGCCTAAAATTCTGCTGATATGGCCGAAATGTAGCATGTAGTACGCAAACAAAAGGAAAATCTGCAGTTTGACAAAAATACCCAGAGGTAGAGAGATGATGTTTACACAAAAACATTACATGGATGCACAAAAGAACCCGTTTCTTTCAGTACGTGAAAATGACTCCACCTCACTTTCAAGTAAGGAGGAATGATCAATATATCATTACTGTATATGTATGTCAGCCATGATAAGAAGGAAGCAGGTTTGAAAGGGACAGAGTAAAATGGGTCGCTGGATAAGTAACGGAGGAGAAGAAGTATCACATTATAATATTTTACAGAAAGATCATTTGAGAGTCATGGAACAACACAATATCATATAATATCATCAGGTACCGAGAGACGACAAGAAACACCAAGTTCACCACAGTGTGTTGTTATACAGTGTCTCAGAGCTCAGTACAAAACCCACAGTTCAACCACCAGTGAATAAGTCCTTATCTTAGTTTACATCTCCACAAGAGTCCATATCTAAATCTAAACCTCCTCTTCTGGATCCCAGCAGGCATACAAAAAAACCTCACTTTAAATTCAAAACACAAGCTTTGTGATTCTCTGACAATAAGATAAAAAGGATAAAACAGATTAAACAGGAGATTAAAAGTGCAGCAACAGTACATTGTAAGACTATGGGATGTGTTTAAAACCACCTACTACACTAGCAGTACAACTGATTTGGCATAAATGATAATAACAAACACATGTTAACGGGACAACGGCTGTACACAAAGGCAGACGTGATTTTACAAGATAACTTTAGTTATGAATTGGTCCTTTTAAGTAAATTATCAGGTTTCTATCAGGGAGATTGGAGCTGATTCTTGGGTATCTGTTGGTTTACTAACATTATAATGGAAACCATGAAAACCAATTTAATAAGTTATTATTTCCTTGATGATATATGAATCTAATATAAAGTAACCTGTGACCCTGAAGCCACAGCTGCTCCCTCAGGTAAGGAGAGCAGCAAGACGTCCCTACATGCTGCCATGGGGTGGACCTGCAGGTCTCTGCAGGGCTGCAGGTTTGTGTTTCCTGCTTTAGTTCAGCAGAGTGCGCTCAGTCCACTCAGCAGAAGGCCTTCAGTAATGCAGTGCTGGCTCCCTCTAGTGGTCACTACAGGAAGCACCACCAACAGAGCTGATCACGTGATGAAACATCAGCTGGAACCAATCTCTGTCAGACCTGCTGCTCGTCACAAACTCCCAAAGAGAAACAGAAGAAAGTTCAGCAGAAGCTTCAGCAGAGTCCAAAAGCTGCTGCTGATCCAGTGAAGACACTCTGAGCAAACTGATTTCATGAAGCTCACAGGAAGCTGCAGCACTCAGGATGCTTTCATGTAACTAAAGCTCGACATAAAGGATCAACATGTTTCCACATGAAATATCTGAACTAGTCATTCAGAGCACGAAGACACAGGAAGAAAGCAGCGTAGAAATCCATCAGAGGACATCAGCTTTCAGGACTCTTCACAAACACAGCAGCAGCTTTCTGTCTGACTTCTCTTCTGGAACGTCCTCTGTGCACACTGATTTAGAAAACACTTTTATATGTTCGCTGCAGTTCAAGGCTGGAATCACCTGCTATAGTGATGTTTTCAGGAAATGCTTATTTTATATACATATTTAAACTTCTTATATTCTTATTTAACTGTTGCTCAGAGGAATCTTTGTCTCTTTCTGCCCTTTCAGTCGTACAAGACAAACCCTTTCACAATAAATACAGGAACTCAAAATCTGCCTGCTTCCTTTGTCTTCAGCCAGTTTGTCTTTGTCTTCTGCTCGAGCGTAGCGGCCCTTTCTCTGTGTTTACCTGTGTCTTGGATTTCCTGCCTTTTGGATTTTGTTTATTGCCATTATTAAACCTTAAAAACATTAAACTGCTGTCTAGTGCAGATGAGAGCTGGAACTCAAATCCCAGATGACACAATATTCATAATGTCAGCAGATCTTTATTGTTTGCGGGAGGGAGGGAGCTGTTGTACTCAGCATGAGACACCAGGGGGCGTCCTCACTCCTTTAGACCAGAGCTGGCAGCTGTCCCAGGTGTATCCATGACATCTGATGAGAGGAGAAAAGCTGATCGATGAGCTGATGGAAGAATCCAGAGAGAAAACTAACAGCTGTTCAACACCAAATAAATCCTGCTGACATGATTTCCGACCTGGGAAGTCAGGAGAACAGCACTACCCAGACTTTATGATCCAAGATGGCTGCTCTGAGTATCAACAGTCAGTGAAAGCTGTAGTTTATAATGCTTATTAGCACTTCTTTGTACTTGTGAATCATAGAAATGTTCATACACAAAGTGCTGTCCAGCTGCTGTCTGTGGACGTGTTGCTACTGTGTTTAGTGTGAGTAAATAACACACAAAGCTTTTTTAAAATCAACCGGCGTAAGAATAGCTAATCTGGCTAGTTGTAAACTATGGCTGGCCGAGCGAGGTTTTCCAACTGGAATGCCATCAGCTCGGGTGTGACATCATTCCCAGCTCCGACTTCCGACTTCAGAGGTAAATGATACGCAGCATAGCTACAGCAAACCCAGAGGGTCAAAACTCAAACCCAAATTTCCCAGTGGTCTACATACAGCTATCACTAGGTGGAGAAAGGGCAGGACAACACTGAGTCACTTAACAGTTATCTTTATAATGTGATGTACATATTAGACTTAGGTGGTACACAGCAATTTGTATTTTTTAAATGTGTGCTGCAGAATTGGGCTGTTTTGTAACACTGTTTTATGTTTGGATGTGCGGCAAATACATAGAAAACATTTTCACTGGCATTTTGTATTCATAGTTAGACAATTATCGTGGTGTGTCATTTTAGTATTGTCTAGTGATATATTGATTATTATGTGATATTATCGTTATCGTAAGCCATGTATCTTGTATCATATCGTGAGGTACCCTGAGATTCCAACCCCTACAACTGGACATTTCACTCTTAACTCTGCTCACGTTGTAAATGTTCACATCATGTAGTAAAATGGGATTCAGCAGCGTGATGCATTTCAACAAGAAAATAAACACTAAAAATCTGTGTTGTTGTAGAAACGTAATATTACTCACGTTGCCATGGTAACAGCTTGACAGGAGCTTGAGGTTGCAGCAGTTTATTGGTGCCTAACCTTAACCCTTACCCTACCCCTAACCTTAACTTAATTCTAACCTGAACCCTGAACCAAGTATTAACCCTCAAACAGCCCTTTAATCTTAAAGCTGGTAATTTATAATGCTTAATTAGTGATAATTCATAGGTTAACACCCTTTCTGACTGCTCTGAAGACTGGTTATTGGTCTGATTCCAGAATGGTGACCCAAAACTCTTTTTATGATGCAGCAGTAAATCAAAAAACACCTTCAAGCACTTTTCTTTTAGTAGATAATATTAAACACAGGGACAAAACTCAGATTTAGTGTGAACTACCAGAGGTGTGGTACCTCGTATCAGTCCTACATCAAATTTGTGACACACCCACAACTCAGCTGGGACCTCAGAAAGTTCAGTCATGTCCATGTGGGTGTGTGTAACCAATGCGAACGATGTTATTGGAACTAGTTCAGAAAGTTCTCTGAACCACAGCAGTGTGTACCGGCCGGAAACACCCAACCTAACTTTATTTGCTGTACAGGGTTCTTGGATCCAAGTTTTTAAGCCTGTAGTGAGTCAGCTGACTTTGGGTGTGAACCTGATCACCCCAGCCATGCCCGGACATACTCCTTGAAGCACCACAGATTAGACTAGGAGTAAAAGAAACAAAACGACTGGAGCTCCCTTTGTCCAGATATCATGATTAAAATAGACAATCTTTCTTTTCTCTTTTGAACTTTTCTCACTGTCCCTATTCTATAATTCATCAAAAATTCTCATCCATGTCAATCAGAACTGTGTAATGTGCAGTTTAATGAGTCTGCATGTATTCAGATCAATGTGTTCGCAGAATCAGCAGTTGTCTCATGACTCTAATCAGCACTAATAACTGGATGACAATACAACAGTACAATAACAATAAAATTACAGCCTCCATAAAAAAAACTTCAGTGACACACTCCAACATCTGAGATTAAATATTAAACCAGAGTCCAACAGTCAAACATGTCAGATATCACAGTGACATTCAAGTTAAAGGGACCTTTCGATGGAGAAGCAGAGTTTATAAAATATATTATTTTTGCAGACAACCTTAATGTCTCTCTCTAAAAAGCATCACCTCCTCCAAAGACATCAGCTGTTTCTTCTGTCAGTTACAAGTTTGTGAGAGTTTCCTCCAACTTTCTCTCCATAACCTCCGTCAGTAGACAAAACCCAGTAACAGTTGAGTCGTTTGTAGAGACTCTGATCCTCCATCTTCACTAACTTCTCCTCACACTTGATGAAACACATCATTCTCTGTCTTCATTAATCAGAATCTTGTTCCATTTTCTCAGTGTCTGTCCTTTCTCTGAGGTCTTTTAGTTTTCTCCTCATCTTTTCAAACTCTCCAAAAGCTTTCTTAAACTGATCAGATACGTCTGTAATACAGTCTGAAGTTGTCGAGGTTTTGAGTTTTGCAGTAACCTCCAACAGTTTGTTAATGTCATCTTTCAGTCTCGCAGTGTTTCCTGGTTCAGCTCCGACTGATTCTCTCTGCAGATCTTCACACACCTTCTTTATTTCTTCCAGCTCAGTCCTCAGTAACTCAACAATCTTCAGGAATGCTTTCACTTTTTTCCCACTTTCTTTCTGTCGTGTAAACCGCTTTTTAGTAAAAATGACAGCAGTGGCCCCTGCAGCAACAGAGAGTGCTGCTGCTCCAACTATTGTGAAGCTCCCAGCGAACAGAGCTGCAGCTGCTACAACACCAACTGCTGCAAACACCAGACCTGTCACTCTGACCTTCTTTGATTTCTCCTTCATCTGTTTAACTTCAGCAGCAATCTTTTGAAGCCCGCAGACGATCTGTTTCATCCTCTGTTTCTTTCTCTGAAACACTTTGATGAATGAAGATGCATATTTAGGAAGTTTTTTCAGCAGGTCAGAAAAAGTAGGTGGATGTTCCCTGCTCCACCTTCTTCTTCGTACACTCGATTCCATTTTCAGGAAGGCTTCTCTAAACTGAATGTGTTGTATCGGTTTTTCTCTGCAGCCTGACAGAGTTTCTGTGAAGACAAATACATTGTTTAAAAAATACTTCAGATCAGCTGGACAACTCAGGTTCAGTCAGATCTTTAACTCATTTTCTGGTAAAAGTTGTATTTTCAAGAGAAGAGAAATTATGTTTATAGAATTTAATTACAGTATTTTTTGTCTTTGTGACTGTGTGTTACTGTGTTACTGTGTTACTTTTATGAACTATTGTGATTGTTCTTACCTGTTTGGGTGAAGAAACTAAAGCGTGCTCAGTCTTTACTGTCCAGCTCCACGGTCATGCATCAGCTGTTTGATCAGCTTCCTGCCTCAGGTGCTGACTGAGATCCATCTTTAATCCTTCTAATCTGTCATTTCCAGACTGAATCAATTAACAAGCCAACGATAAAACAAGTTACTTACTTTTTGTGTCGAAGATCCTGTTCCTGAATTGCGACACACTTTATTCCTGTTACATCATGTCATTTGACTCCTTCCAGTATACTCAACAGAAAGTGCTCCTCCTCAAAGGGGATGGTCTGATACGTCACCTGACAGGTTCCAGACTCCACTGAACCCTCCCAGACTGTAAATAAATTGCAGTGAAGGTATGTGAGTGCATGGAACTACAAAGACCGTATGAGGAAAGATATAGCACTTAAAATTACCTGAACTGATTCGTCATGACCTTTAAGGGTACTGAACTGAGGGAATTCCATCAGCTCCTTTTGTGTTGCCCTGCTGCTGTCTTGATCATTTCATTTAACTATTGTGCCATTTGTTTTATTGTCTTCTCTCTGTAGTCGGTCTGTCATATGTCTTAGTCTGTTATTATGTTTTTAGTTGTCTATGTTTTATTATTTTTTACTTGCCTGGTAAAATAAAGGTATAATTAAATAATAGAATAAAATAAAAAAAAAAGTTTTAAAGGAAATCAAATGGGGATGCAGAACCAATTTTGTTAATTACTTAGTAAAAAATGAATTGATAACAAATCTTTACATGAAAGAAAAGCAATAATGTATGGGTTGTACCCGAAAACAAAAACCAAAGTCTAAAAAAACCAACACTGATCCCTGGTGGAAGCTATAAATGTGGGGAAACAAAGGGACAAACTGGTTCAAATACAAGTACAAACAAAAGAGAAATCAGAGGAGTCATCTCATGCATGACAAATGTGTCATTTTCAAATTCTGGTTAATTTAATTTACACATACCCAACAATTCCCACCATGAGCAAGCAATTAGTGAGACAGGCAAGGTAAACCTGGAGCAGAACTGCAGTCCCCTCCAAAAGTATTGGAACGGGAAGACAAATTCCTTTGTTTTTGTTGTTCACTGAAGACATTTGGGTTTAAGATCAAAAGATGAGTCTGAGACAAGAGTTCAGAATTTCAGCTCTCAGTTCCTGGTATTCACATCTAGATGTGTTAAACAACTCAGGACAAACCACTCTTTGTTTGAACCCACCCATTTTTCAAGTGAGCAAAACTACTGGAACATGTGACTGACAGATCTTTCTTGTTGCCCAGATGTTGCCTTTTAGGTTGATTGTCCAAACATTAACTAGCTCTGCATGACTAGTCTAAGTTTTCCTCCTTGGTTCAAACCTATAAAGACTGCATTTCCTGTTAAAGAGGATACACCAACATGAAGACCAGAGAGCTGTCTATGGGAGAAAAGCAAGCCACTGTCAAGCTGAGAAAAGAAGGAAAATCGAGCAGAGCCATTGGACAAACATTGGACATAGCAAGCACAACAATTTGGAATGTCCTGAAAAAGAAAGAAACTACTGGTGTACTGAGCAACAGACGTCCAACAGGTCGGCCAAGGAAAACAGTAGCTAATAAAAATATTGAGAGAGCTGTGAAGAAAACCCCCAAAACATCAGGAAGTGACATCACCAACAACCTCCACAGTGCAGGTGTGAAGGTATCACAATCCACTGACTCAGAGAGCAGAAATCTAGAGGCCACACCACAAGATGCAAACCACTCATCAGCAGGAAGAATCGGAAGGCCAGATTGAAATTTTCAAAGAAGTACAAAAGTTCTGGAACACAATCTTATGGACTGATGAGACCAAGATTAATCTCTAGCAAAGTGATGGAAAGGCCAAAGTGTGGAGAAAGAAAGGAACTGCTTATGATCCGAAGCTCATCTGTGAAGCATGGTGGAGGTCATGTCATGGCTTGGGCGTGCATGGCTGCTTCTGGAACAGGCTCATTAATATTTATTGATGATGGAACTGATGATGGTCGCAGCAGAATGAATTCAGAAGTGGACAGAAACATTTTGTCTGCCAGTTTACAGAGAAATGCATTGAAACTAATGGGCAGGAAGTTTATCATGCAGCAGGACAATGAGCCAAAGCACACTGCCAACAAAACAAAGGACTTCATCAGGGGGAAAAAGGTTTTAGACTGACCAAGTCAATCAGCTGACTTTAACCCAATAGAGCATGCATTTCACCTCCTTAAGAGGAGACTGAAGGGAGAAACACCCCGAAACAAACAAGAACTGAAAGAAGCTGCGGTAAAAGCCTGGAATAGCATCACAAATGAAGAATGCAACAGTTTGGTGATGTCCGATGGGTCGCAGGCTTGAAGCAGTTATTGCAAGCAAGGATTATGCCACCAAATATTAAATGTTATTTACTTTAAGAGTATTTGTTCAAATTGTTTTACCACAATTTGTTGTTTTTCTTCTTTTTTTACATGTTCGATATGAAGACATCAATCAATATTAACATGTACAGCTCTCCCACCTCTGATATATTCTTTAAATTTGTAGACCACCTCAACTTGTACACTGAACTCTTCATCACTCTTCATCTCTTCTTTATGTTTCTTCAGAGCTTCCTGAGTCAGAGTCTCTCTGTTGTATTTCAATGAGCTCAACTCTCTCTTTCAGGTTTTGGATGCAGGCTGTCAGTCTGATTCATGAATTCAACACTTCAACAGTTCCCATTAGATTCTGAGGTGCAGTTTCTTTCAGAAACTCTGTGAACTGTCTCATTCCTTCCATTGTTAAGTTCCATGCACCTTTTAAAAAAGGCTTATTCCTCTTTGTTGGTGGTTATTGAACATAAAGTGAACAGGCCCATTCTCCTCATCTTTGGCACATTTAATTTTTGTATCTTCTAAAGCTTTCAGAACATTTTCAGATGTCAGACCATCTGAGTGAGGAGAGCAACAATGTTCTTCTCCATGTCTTTTCCAAACAGAGACACCACTGAATCAAAGATGTACCTCAGTCGGTCACTCAGTCGATTCTCAGTTGCTTTCAGCACCAGACCCACTGCATTCATCTCATGAACTCCGTCCTCTGAGCGGAACCAGTCTAATAATCTTTGACTGATGATGTCATCATGTTCAGTTTCTCTGGTGTCTCCGTATCCAGGAGTATCGATGATGGTCAGAGAGTAGGGCAGAGTTTCACCTTCAAAACCAAAGACCTGGTACACCATCACATCTGATGTCTGACTCTCTGACTGGCTTCTCTTCTCGTCCTCTACGATGTGAAACCAGACATCGTCCTCCCACTTCACTCCCATGGCGTAGTTGACCAGAGCGTTGACCAGAGTAGATTTTCCTGTTCCTGTTTCACCCACAAGCAAGATGGTTTTGTTTATCTTGTTCACATTTCTTTCCCCAAGAGTCATTCAATGTTCTCTTTCTTTGGTAACAGCTGGTAGACAGCAGGAGGTCCTGATCGGATTAGAACACTTTTGGGAATGGTGTCCCTGTATTTGGATGAGCTGTTCCAGTAGAAAAGTAAAAACATGAGCTCAAAAACTACTGAACATGGAATAAAATAAATTAAATCACTTGCTACATCAACATTGTAATAAAAGTCTGGTTCTTTTAGATTTTAATTGTTTCTATAATCACATCAATCTGACACTTTTCCAGTTTTCACTCTTAACTCTGCTCACGTTGTAAATGTTCACATCATGCAGTAAAATGGGATTCAGCAGCGTGATGCATTTCAAAATAAACACTGAAACTTTGTTGTTGTAGAAACGTAGTATTACTCACATCGCCATGGTAACAGCTTGACAGGAGCTTTAGGATGCAGCAGCTTATTAGTTCCCCTTCGAGGGAACTTGAACTGGAGCACCCCGCCCTACGGCAGCTATGGGTCTGGCCCCTGAGGGGGAGCAGTCGAGACACTGCTCAGCTCCAGAGCCCCGTCCACAAGAAGGATGTACGGCCTTAAGTGGAATGTGTTCACCACCTGGTGCAGAGAACGGGCGGTGGACCCGGTTACCTGCTCGGTAATTGTGATACTGGAGTTCCTCCAGCACCGTTTCTCCACCGGCCTCTCCCCGTCCACGCTCAAAGTGTATGTGGCTGCCATTGCAGCATTCCACGCTCCTCTGAGTGATGGGCCTCTGGGGGAGGCTTCCACTCCGTGGAGCCAGGAGGATGAGACCCGTGACTCGTTCCAGGGTTCCCTCCAGGAACCTGGCAGTGGTTCTCGAAGTGCTGGCTGAGGCCCCCTTTGAACCCCTGGAGTCGGCTGAGGCCAAGCACCTGACCCTTAAGATGACCTTTCTCCTCGCTGTCACCTCTCTGAGGAGGGTGGGGGATCTCTAGGCACTTTTGATTTCTCCCCGATGACTGGAGTTTGCCAGACTTGGCCAGACTGGCAGGGTCCACGGTGCTGCAGGCGTTTCATCCCCCACCTCATGTGACGGCGGAGGACGGGAAACTTCATCTGCTCTGCCCTGTCAGAGCACCGAGTATTTACAGTCTGAGGTCTTCCCGGTGGAGGAAAGCAGACCAGTTGCTGGTGTGTTTCGGGTCCCCCAAGGCTCGGCTCCCCGCTTCTAAACACACCATCAGCAACTGGATTGTTTAGACTATTTCCCTGGCCTATCAGGTGCGCGGTATTGCCTTCACCTATGGCCGTAAGGGCACACTCTACTCGAGGCATGGCGGCTTCTAGGGCCCTCCTCACAGGGACACTCCAGGATTTGTGTGAGGCAGCTGGCTGGGCCACCCCTCACACTTTCATCCGGTTTTACAGTGTGGACCTTCCTTCTTCACCCATGTGCTCTCCTCCTAGTCGTGCCATCAGGTTCTGCACGCTGGGGGCAGGCGGGGTTTCGGCGCGGCCTAAGTTGGTATCTCGTTCCCCTGGTGTCGTCACCGACGTCCCTCGAACGGGAACGTCTCAGGTTATGTATGTAACCCTTGTTCCCCGAGAAGGGGAACAAGACACTGCGTCGGTCCGCCACACCTCACCCCGCCTGGAGTGCCTTGCTTCATAGAAAGGGCTAATGTGTCCTGTGTGCCAGCGTGATTATATACCCCTCCGGTTACACCATCACACACTACCGTTGTAGCAGCACCAATAGGATTGGAGTAGATTCATTCATAGTTCAGCCCTGCCACGCCCAGAGGCGTTCACATAATGTCACACAGTGTCTCGTTCACCTTACATATGTAACCCGAGACATTTTAGCTTGGTGTACCTAATAATCAGAAAGTGCGTATTTTCTGTATATGAACATTCTGTGCAGTCAAAAGCTAATGGCACTTTTTATTGTTGCCTCAACACTTAAAACAATACAATATAATATTTTTCACATATATACAACTTGTGAACTGCATGATCTGCCTTTTCTACATGTTTCTCTTGCAGGTTCTGCATTTCAACCATGATGGTAGCTGATGTGTATGCTAGGGAAAGGAAAAACATGTTCATAACATATAACACACCATAACAGCAACCTCTCAGCTACCATCATGGTTGAAATGATTTTTTGCACCACAAACCATACAAGATATGTGGTACCTGTTTCCAGCTGTGTTCATGGATGTTCTGAACGTGGCTCAGCCCTACGTATTCAGGTCCTCTCTTACTGTAAAAAAGAAAATATAATTATAACAAAAGCCAACCTTAACGGAACAACCACCTTTTTCATCATTAGAGTAGCTGCGACCTATGATTGTGCAACCACTCTAGTTACTTCTTTGCCTCTTGCTTGGCCAAAGGCACGAGGGCTCCCTTTGTAAAACTAATTACACATCTACAAAACTCAGTGCACATTTAGAAACATCACATTATAAACTGAAACACACATGAACACAGGAAGAACATGCAAATTAGCTGCAAATTAGCTTCCTCAACATCAATCTTGCATTAGCTAGAAATTAGCTTTTTTTTCTCTGCCTGCCGCTGTGGCTTTTGAAATGCTTGCGCTAAATGAAGGTCATCACTTTCATCTTGAGGTTCAAAATGTTTACACAAAAACATTACATGGATGCACAAAAGGACCCGTTTCTTTCAGTACGTGAAAATGACTCCACCTCACTTTCAAGTAAGGAGGAATGATCAATATATCATTACTGTATATGTATGTCAGCCATGATAAGAAGGAAGCAGGTTTGAAAGGGACAGAGTAAAATGGGTCGCTGGATAAGTAACGGAGGAGAAGAAGTATCACATTATAATATTTTACAGAAAGATCATTTGAGAGTCATGGAACAACACAATATCATATAATATCATCAGGTACCGAGAGACGACAAGAAACACCAAGTTCACCACAGTGTGTTGTTATACAGTGTCTCAGAGCTCAGTACAAAACCCACAGTTCAACCACCAGTGAATAAGTCCTTATCTTAGTTTACATCTCCACAAGAGTCCATATCTAAATCTAAACCTCCTCTTCTGGATCCCAGCAGGCATACAAAAAAACCTCACTTTAAATTCAAAACACAAGCTTTGTGATTCTCTGACAATAAGATAAAAAGGATAAAACAGATTAAACAGGAGATTAAAAGTGCAGCAACAGTACATTGTAAGACTATGGGATGTGTTTAAAACCACCTACTACACTAGCAGTACAACTGATTTGGCATAAATGATAATAACAAACACATGTTAACGGGACAACGGCTGTACACAAAGGCAGACTTACGTGATTTTACAAGATAACTTTAGTTATGAATTGGTCCTTTTAAGTAAATTATCAGGTTTCTATCAGGGAGATTGGAGCTGATTCTTGGGTATCTGTTGGTTTACTAACATTATAATGGAAACCATGAAAACCAATTTAATAAGTTATTATTTCCTTGATGATATATGAATCTAATATAAAGTAACCTGTGACCCTGAAGCCACAGCTGCTCCCTCAGGTAAGGAGAGCTGCAAGACGTCCCTACATGCTGCCATGGTGAGTCCACGTGAGGTGGACCTGCAGGTCTCTGCAGGGCTGCAGGTTTGTGTTTCCTGCTTTAGTTCAGCAGAGTGCGCTCAGTCCACTCAGCAGAAGGCCTTCAGTAATGCAGTGCTGGCTCCCTCTAGTGGTCACTACAGGAAGCACCACCAACAGAGCTGATCACGTGATGAAACATCAGCTGGAACCAATCTCTGTCAGACCTGCTGCTCCTCACAAACTCCCAAAGAGAAACAGAAGAAAGTTCAGCAGAAGCTTCAGCAGAGTCCAAAAGCTGCTGCTGATCCAGTGAAGACACTCTGAGCAAACTGATTTCATGAAGCTCACAGGAAGCTGCAGCACTCAGGATGCTTTCATGTAACTAAAGCTCAACATAAAGGATCAACATGTTTCCACATGAAATATCTGAACTAGTCATTCAGAGCACGAAGACACAGGAAGAAAGCAGCGTAGAAATCCATCAGAGGACATCAGCTTTCAGGACTCTTCACAAACACAGCAGCAGCTTTCTGTCTGACTTCTCTTCTGGAACGTCCTCTGTGCACACTGATTTAGAAAACACTTTTATATGTTCGCTACAGTTCAAGGCTGGATCACCTGCTATAGTGATGTTTTCAGGAAATGCTTATTTTGAAATAGTTTTGGCCCCAAAAGAAGAATTAAATGATTAAAACGTCCATTTAGTTGATGTCCCCGCAGTGCTGCCTGACAGAAGAGACGTCTGTTAATTCCAGCTTCTTATAGACGTTACTGTGAACTTGACCCTGAAACAGGAAGCTGTCATATTTAAACTTCTTATATTCTTATTTAACTGTTGCTCAGAGGAATCTTTGTCTCTTTCTGCCCTTTCAGTCGTACAAGACAAACCCTTTCACAATAAAACAGGAACTCAAAATCTGCCTGCTTCCTTTGTCTTCAGCCAGTTTGTCTTTGTCTTCTGCTCGAGCGTAGCGGCCCTTTCTCTGTGTTTACTGTGTCTTGGATTTCCTGCCTTTTGGATTTTGTTTATTGCCATTATTAAACTGCTGTCTAGTGCAGATGAGAGCTGGAACTCAAATCCCAGATGACACAATATTCATAATGTCAGCAGATCTTTATTGTTTGCAGGTCAGAGCATCATCAGCATTACACAGGTGTGACTGAGGAGAGGCAGTCTGTCCTCAGCTCTTATAGGACTTTGATACAACACACATTAACTGAATCTTCTTTATTATTGAGAAAGATATTAAGATATATTATTAACACTCTCAGAACACAGGAAGAGGTTTCAACCCCCCTCCAGGCTAAACTCCTTTATAATGAGTTCACTTTAGTTTCCCAACAGCTTCAACATTGTGACATCATGGTGGATATATAAGACACGTCTATTCATACAAGCACAAACACAATCATAGTGGAGAAAACATGATTAGAAGAGAAAAAATAAATGGATTTAGTCCAACAGGATCTGACTGTGTTTAGTTTGTGATGTGGGGGAGGGAGGGAGCTGTTGTACTCAGCATGAGACACCAGGGGGGCGTCCTCACTCCTTTAGACCAGAGCTGGCAGCTGTCCCAGGTGTATCCATGACATCTGATGAGAGGAGAAAAGCTGATCGATGAGCTGATGGAAGAATCCAGAGAGAAAACTAACAGCTGTTCAACACCAAATAAATTTGCTGCCATGATTCAGCACTGATGTTAATCTGCACACTGAACTCACTATTGGTGAGCAAACATGGAAGTACAAGAAGAGCAGCAGTCATTCCACACCACAGAGGGCGCGAAGTACACATCTGACAATTTAAAGGTGATTACATTTGAATTTCCTCATGAACTTATGGCATCATCATCACATTTCATAGAACTAGAATGTAAAAGACACATCTATCCACTTTGACAACAAGCTCGAAGGACTTTCTGAAGTTCTTCCATTTGCTTTTCTAAAGTTCCCACATGCTTTCATAGTTGTCTCTCATGTCTCATGTCCTCACATACATAGAATCGTCTTTGTCATGTTTTGATACAGAACACTTCCGAGGACATACAGTGCAGCGGCCATCTCTCATGACCTTACAGTTTGCTGCACCCCACCACTCTGTGCATGGATAGTGACAGTTCACCCGACAGACTCTGCAGCTGACAGCTTTATCATTAAAAAACCAACCACGTTTGGTAGGTTCTTTCATACTGCAGTGTACACGACCTTCGTAGCTCATCATGTGTTGTTCGTGTTTCTTCTGAGTTTCCTGAGTCTGTTGGATTTCAAAAAAGAAGTAAACAGGCTGATTCTTTTCATTTCTGGCACATTTTAAAAAAAAGAGAGATTTTTTAGGTGTTCTTTCATCTGAGAGTGTGATGAGAGCAATAATGTTCTTCTCCGTAGTTTTTCCAAACAGTCTTAATTTTAAGTTTAATTACTCCTTCTCTGTGGTCATTACTGTTGTGTTTTACCCACTCACTGACAACATGAATTGACAGCTTAGAAAAGAGAAACCGCTTCACAGCTCACAGACGGAGGCACCAACAACAGTTAAACTCGTTCACAACGACTGCTGCACTTACTGAGGAAATATCATATGTCTGTCTGGAGGGAATACTTTATACGTTAAATATTAAATACAAGATCCCTGCTTTTACTTTATGCTGTTAACTCCTGATCTGGATGTCATAAAGTATTTTTAAAGTAAAGTGTTTTTACCTGTTGGCTTCATGAAGATCTCTGATACTGAGGAGGCAGCAGAAAGCAGTTTTTATAGAGAGAGGGTGGACGCTCTGTGGTCACATGATTAAACAGAAACCCTCTCAGAGACAAAAAGCAGAGACTGCAGTGATACTTGAGTGCATTATCAGCTGTATTATGAATACATGAATATTACTCATTGTTTATATTAGAACCTGAAACTCTGAACTGAGGACTGGAATAAACATCTTTAGAGTAACAGATCAGAGAAACAGTCACAGTGCAGTAAGATTTATAAGTTGAGCCAAAAGCAACAAGGTCAACCAAAGTACAGCAGAGAAACTGACACAGGAGAACAGCTGAGTTTAAAGTTAGAATTGAAAGAGTTGGGGTTCATATGAGATCGTGAGGAAGTTGGTTCCATCTGTGTGCAGCATCGCAGCTAAAAGCAGATTCACCCTGTTTGGTTCTGACTCCAGGTTCTACCAGCTGACTGCTGCCTAAAGGTCTCAGTTTATATTCTTCACAGAGATCAGAAATGTATGTTTGCCTGTTACAATAGTCCACCCTGCTGGAAATGAAGGCTTAAATGAGCAGCAGCTGGACCTCCTGGAACAATACAACAAGCAGTGAATGCACTAAAAGAAAGCTTGTTCAGCTCTCTATGCAATTAAACAGAAATTCTATATTATAAGTATCCCAATTAAAATCTGATGTAAATTATTTGACATGTAATAAAGCCGACTGCGCTGTATGGAAGGGAAGTTTGGGCTCCTCTCAGTCATCAGAACTACAACAGAGGGAAGAAGCATCAACTGAGACCGTACATGCAGAATTCTGCAGAATCTTTTTACACATTCAAAGAAAGACTCCTACAAATGTGTGTAGGGCAGAGTTAGGACAATATCCCCCAAAAAGAGCACCCATTCTGCCCCATGGTTTACATCAGAACTATGCCAGCTCAAAGTAAAAGGTTGTCGCCTGGAACGCCTTTACAAGAAAACTGGACTTCTTGTGAACCAAGAAATGTACAAAAAAAACATTTTCCTCTACAGGGACTGTCTTTCTACAGCCAAATCCAACTATTATGCAGGTATAATTAGTTTAGGCGAAGGAAACACCAGAGCCCTGCTCTCCATGGTCAACAACATACTACAACGACCGGACTCTCTCGCGCCTCATCTGTACTTTTGAGTACAGATTCTGTTTTTTAATGCCAAACGAGATTCACCAGCAACTGACTAATAATACCTCTCACAGTTTCATTTTCAGTTCTCCCAACACTTTCTCAAGTTTCTCGCTTCCTTCTTTTGCTGAAATATAGGACATTATTAGAAATTTGAAACCAACTACTTGTCAGCTTGACCCTTTTCCTACCATCTTAGTAAAAGCCTGCTCACCCTCTCTCTCTTCCCAAATAACTACCATTAGACATTCCTCTCTCACCTCTGGTATTGTTCCCTCATCTCTAAAATCAGCTGCAATAACTCCCATACTTAAGAAACCTGGTGCAGACCCCAACAATTTCAACAACTTCCGTCTTTTGCACTAAATGTTTACAGATCTCTGTACTCTGTATTTTGATTTATATATAGACTATATATTTGTATATCGCGGTTCTCATTGTTGCCTCACAACTTAAGCATACATTCTGATCTACATCCTTGAATGGTCGGTACCTGCATTAAATGTACATAGAAGGTACTGCATTTTCAAATATTCTCCTTACAGACTCATTACTGCATTATGTATTTTGTACTATGTGTATTTAATGTGTAACTATATGTTGGCCTGCAAATCTACACTTTCTTGGCCAAGTCGCCGTTGCAAATGAGAATCTGTTCTCAATTGGCATACCTGGTTAAATAAAGGTTAAATAAAATAAAATGAATGCACACATGTCTGACAATAAACTCTATGAACAATTCCAATCTGGTTTCTGTCCCTACCACAGCACAGAAACAGCTCTGGTAAAAATCACCAATGATCTTCTCATGGCAGCTGATTCCGGACTACTAACTATTCTCATCTTCCTTGATCTGAGTGCAGCCTTGGACACCATCTCTCATGACATCCTCCTTGACAGATTAGTCTCTATTGGTTTCACTGACGCACCCTTGGACTGGTTTAAATCATATCTCTCTGGCCGCAATCAGTTCATCCAACTCAAACATTTCAAATCAGAGCTATCCCCTGTCACTACCGGTGTTCCCCAGGGCTCTGTCCATTATCTATCTGCTTCTTCTTGGCCATATCTTCTGTAAATTTACATCCATTTCCAATGCTATGCAGATGACACCCAGCTCTACCTGTCCACCAAACCTGCCACATCTCTCCCACCCACGTCCCTCTCTGATTGCCAGCAGAAAAACCGAGGTTCTCCTCATTGGCACCAAGTCCACTCCACACTTTCCCCCTACCCTCAGGTCAAGAGTCTGGGTGTGATCTTTGACAGCACACTTTAATTTCAAGCCCACATTAATAATGTTCTGCATACTTCCACTTACGTAACATTAATCGCCTCCGACCGCCTCTCTCACCCACTAGTACAGCCATTCTCATTCACACACTGGTCACATCCCACAATGATTATTGTAATTCTCTTCTCATTGGTCTTCCTCTCAAATCCATACATAAACTTCAACTGGTTCAGAACTCTGCTGCCCGGATCATCACCAGAACCCCTTCTATTAACCATATTACTCCTGTCATTCAGCAGCTTCATTGGCTCCCAGCTAAATACCGCATTGATTTCAAGACTCTGCTCCAGACCTTCAAGGACATTCATAACCTTGCTCCTCTGTATCTCACTGACCTCCTTCATATTAACACCCCCACCCGTACTCTTAGGTCTTCTTCTTCTATTCACCTCACTGCTCACTGAGCTCCATGGGTTTGAGAGCGTTCAGCCGCTCTGCCCCTCGTCTCTGGAACTCTCTTCCACCAGACATCCATAACATTGACTTGCTTTCCATTTTTAAATCCCGCCTGAAAACACATCTTTTTAAACTGGCTTATCCCACGTGTTCAGTCTTTCTCAATCCTTGTTTCCAGTTGTTTATGTAACCTGATTTTATGCACTGTGGTTATAGTTGTTAATTTTATTGATTTATTGCTGTACTGTTTTATTATGTTTTGTGAGGTGACCTCTGATGGCTTTTTCACAAAGTCATTGGTCCCTATGTGCACCATGATGTTTCTCACAGTTGAGTTTAATATGTGGGATTCTTTCTGTCACAGAGCAAATCTTGAAAAGCTGTAGATTTTGGTATTTTTACATCTTTTACAGCAAAATCTCCCACAGTCAGAGTTGGAGGAAGTCGTTGGCTTTCTCTCTGGTCTTTTGCCTTCAGAAGACTGATCTTGTCTCATGAGACATACACAGATGTAAAAATACACTTGAATAGTGAAATTTTTGTGAAACATAGTACACATTTGTGGATTATTTTCTGTGGGTGACAAATAATAAAGTCTAACTAAATCTTCCAGTGTTCCAAAAGACTCTTAAGTCAAAATCCGACCGTCCCGTTCAGGTGGTTACTTAACCAGGTTCATCCACGGCCTCATTATATGCTTCCCTTGCACTTTACAGATTTTGGAATAAACATAAACCAGCGCCCGTACTTTTTACTCTGATAGCTACATGCTGTATAAGAACAGACATAAACATCAACTTCTGATTCAGTCACCTCAAAGGTCAAGGATCTCAAGTAAGTTTTTTTAATATTAATAATATATAATAATATAATAATAATTAATAAAGTCATATTTTCTACACAAGAATACACCCATGATAACACTACTACTAATAACAGAGAGAAAGATATCAGTGGTGAACACACAGCAGAAATGGACTCACAAAGCACGACTCCAGGTAGTTAACAATTAGAATTGAACACCGCCCAAAAATTACAAAAGGAATCAAAGTGCAAAACAGGAAACACGGATCAAACACAATAACAGGAAAAACACTAGGGTCACACCTGAACTCTCTCTAGAGAGAACAAATAAATCTTGTACTGACATCAGGGAGGAGCGGGTTTATCTACACAAGGACAGGAGAGACAGTGAGATAGCTCAGTGAGCTTAGTCTGTCCGCAAGCCACTTTGATCCAGTATACTCTGGACCCACCTGCGCATTTACAGGTGGACAGAGGTTCCTGCAAATCACTCGGGCACGAGATTTAAGACCACTTCCTTCACTCTGTTCAATCTCACTCTCATTATCTTTTCACTCAATTACCTACTCATTTCTAACCGTGTAAATATTTTATAAAAAGCAATGGTAAAAAGCTAAAAACAAAGAAAACAGGACAGTAAAAGTTACAGTGCAGTGTAAGTTATCAATCTACTAGTTAAAGGCAGCGGTAAAAAGAAGTCTTCAGTCTTAATTTAAAAGAACTGACTGTTTCAGCAGACCTTCAGTTATCTGGGAGTTTGTTCCAGATATACGGAGCATAATAACTGAACGCTGCTTTTCCTTGTTTAGTTTTGACTCTGGGGAAAGAAAGCAGACCTGATCCCAGATGACCTGAAAGGTCTGGATGGTTCATAACGAAGCAGAAGATCAGAAATGCATTTTGGCCCTAAACCATTTAGTGCTTTATAAACTAACAGCAGGATTTTGAAATCAATTCTTTGACATACAGGAAGCCAATGTAAAGACCTCTGAACTGGAGTGATGTGATCCACCTTTTTGGTCTTAGTGAGGTCCCACACTCTTTAACATCTACATAAACCAATTAGCAGTGCAACTAGACCAATGTACAGTGCCAGGACCCCAACTCCAAAATGGAATAGTCTAGTCTCTGTTTTATGCAGATGAGCTGGTGCTGCTGTCCCCCACAAAAGAGGGACAACAGCAGCAGCTGGACCTCCTGAAACAATACAACAAGCAGTGAATGCACTAAAAGAAAGCTTGTTCAGCTCTCTATGCAATTAAACAGAAATTCTATATTATAAGTATCCCAATTAAAATCTGATGTAAATTATTTGACATGTAATAAAGCCGA